TGAGAAGATAAACAAAATTGATCAACCTTTAGCCAGACTCATCAAGAAGAAAAGGAAGAAGGCTCAAATTAGTAAAATTAGAAATTAAAAAGGAGAGATTACAACTGACACTGCAGAAATACAAAGGATCGTAAGAGACTACTACAAGCAACTATATGCAAATAAATTGGAAAACCCGGAAGAAATGGAAGAATTCTTAGAAGAGTACAACCTTCCAAGATTGAACCAGGAAGAATTAGAAAATATAGGCAGAGCAATTACAGGTAATGAAGTGAAAACTGTAATTTAAAATCTTCCAACAAACAAAAGTCCAGGACCAGATGGCTTCACAGGCAAATTCTATCAAACATTTACAGAAGAGTTAACACCTATCCTTCTCAAACTCTTCCAAAAAACTGTGGAGGGAGGAATACTCCCAAACTCGTTCTATGATGCCACCATTACCCTGATACCAAAACCAGACAAAGACATCACAAAAAAAGAAAATTATAGAGCAATAATATTGATGAACACAGATGCACAAATCCTCAACAAAATACTAGTAAACAGAATCCAACAACACATTAAACACATTGAAAGGATCATACATCAAGTGGGATTTATCCCAGGGATGCAAGGATTCTTCAGTATATGCAAAACAATCAATGGGATACACCATATTGACAAATTGAAGAATAAAATCCATACGATTATCTCAATAGATGCTGAAAAAGCTTGTGACAAAATCCAACACCCATTTATGATAAAATCTCTCCAGAAAGTGGGCATAAGGGAATCTACCTCAACATAATAAAAGCCATATACGACAAACTCACAGCAAACATCATTCTCAATGGTGAAACAATGAAGGAATTTCCTCTAAGATCAGGAACGGGACAAGGATGTCCACTCTCACCACTCTTATTCAACACAGTATTGGAAGTCCTAGCCGTGGCAATCAGAGAAGAAAAAGAAATAAAAGGAATACAGATTGGAAAAGAAGAAGTAAAACTGTCACTGCTTGCAGATGATATGATACTATACATAGAAAATCCTATAGATGCCGCCAGAAAACTACTAGAGCTAATCAATGAATTTGGTAAGGTTGCAGGATACAAAATTAATGCACAGAAATCTGTTGCATTCCTATACACTAACAATGAAAGATCAGAAAGAGAGATTAAGGAAACAATCCCGTTTACCATCACAACAAAAAGAATAAAATACCTAGGACTAAACGTACCTAAGGAGGCAAAAGACCTGTACTCAGAAAACTATAAGATACTGATGAAACAAATCAAAGATGATACAAACAGGTGGAGAGATATACTGTGTTCTTGGGTCGGAAGAATCAATATTGTGAAAATGACTATACAAATCACAGCAATCTACAGATTCAGTGCAATCCCTATCAAATTACCAATGGCATTTTTCACAGAACTAGAAAAAAAACTTCACAATTTGTATGGAAACACAAAAGACCCTGAATAACGAAAGCAATCTTGAGAAAGAAAAACGGAGCTGGAGGAGTCAGGCTCCCTGATTCCAGACTATACTACAAACCTACAGTAATCAACACAGTACGGTACTGGCACAAACACAGAAATATAGATCAACGGAACAGGAAAGAAAGCCCAGAGGTAAACCCATGCACATTTGGTCACTTTATCTTTGATAAAGGAGGCAAGAATATACAATGGAAAAAAGACAGCCTCTTCAGTAAGTGGTGCTCGGAAAACAGGACAGCTACATGTAAAAGAATGAAATTAGAACACTCCCTAACCCCATACACAAAAATAAACTCCAAATGGATTAAAGACCTAAATGTAAGGCCAGACACTATCAAACTCTTAGAGGAAAACATAGGCAGAACACTCTATGACATAAATCACAGCAAGATCCTTTGTGACGCACCTCCTAGAGTAATGGAAATAAAAACAAAAATAAACAAATGGGACCTAATGAAACTTCAAAGCTTTTGCACAGCAAAAGAAACCATAAGACAAAAAGACAACCCTCAGAATGGGAGAAAATATTTGCAAATGAAGCAACTGACAAAGGATTAATCTCCAAATTATACAAGCAGCTCATGCAGCTCAACATCACAAAAACAAACAATGCAATCCAAAAATGGGTGGAAGACATAAATAGACATTTCTCCAAAGAAGACATACAAATGGCCAACAAATACATGAAAAGATGCTCAACATCATTAATCATTAGAGAAATGCAAGTCAAAACCACAATGAGGTATCATCTCACACCAGTCAGAATGGCCATCAACAAAAAATCTACAAACAATAAATGCTGAAGAGGGTGTGGAGAAAAGGGAACCCTCTTGCACTGTTGGTGGGAGTGTAAATTGATACAGCCACTATGGAGAACAGTAGGGAGGTTCTTTAAAAAACTAAAAATAGAACTACAATATGACCCAGCAATCCCACTACTGGGCCTATAACCTGAGAAAACCATAATTCAAAAAGTGTCATATACCACAATGTTCATGTAGCCAGGACATGGAAGCAACCTAATTGTCCACCAACAGATAAATGGATAAAGATGTGGTACATATATACAATGGAATATTAGTCAGCCATAAAAAGAAACGAAATTGAGTTATTTGTAGACGTGGATGGATCTAGAGTCTGTCATACAGAGTGAAGTAAGTCAGAAAGAGAATAACAAATACTGTGCCCTAATGCATATATATGCGATTTTAAAAAGCGGTAGTGATGAATAAAAAAGTGGCAGGGCAGGAATAAAGACGCAGACGTAGAAAGCAGACTTGAGAGCATGGGGCAGTGGAAGGGGAAGCTGGGATGAAGTGAGAGAGTAGCATTCACAAATTATGGGGAAGGATGCACACCTCTGTGACTGTATTAAAAGTCATTAAAATGTACACTCTTACACGGCTGATTTGTATGGTATGTGAATTATATCTTAATCAATTTGTCAGAAAAAAAAACTGCACTAAATAAATAAATAAATAAAAATGCTCCTTTTATCTAAGCAATGAACAGATGCAACATTGTTACCATGGGAGAGAAAAAGAACTCTCTCCTTTGTGTGTCCATTTGTTTCCAAAAATGGAAAGAAACTGAGAGCAAGAATTCTAAAGCTTCCAGTAGGTGAGCATGGACACACAGTATGCGCCCGTTGTTTGTGGAATAAATCTTTTGCAGGTTGAATGGTGTCCCCCTCAAAAAAAAAAAAAATAGTGTAGGAGTTCTCAAAGTACCCATAGTACCTCAGAGTGTGACCTTACTTGAAGACAGGGTCTTGACATATGTAATGAACTTAGAATGTAGTCATGAGTCTGGGTGGCAATCCTATATGACTAATGTCCTCATAAAAAGGGGAGATTTAGACACAGAAATAGATGCATAGAGAAAACACAATATGATGAGATAGAGGAATAAGGCCACTGTGTACAAGCCAAGCAGAGAGGCCTGGAACCAATCCTTTCCTCAAAAGGTGTTAACCCTGCTGACCCCCTGATCTTGGACTTCTGGCTTGAGGCAATACCTTCCTGTTGTTGAGACTACCCGGTCTGTGGTGCTTTGATACAGGAGCCTAGCACATTTGGGTCACAGTCCCTCCACTAACTGGGTGATGAACTGCCTTCTCTGAGGTGCAGGGTCCTCATTGGGAAATCATGATTGGAGTAAAAACAGGGAATGTGTCTCACAGCGACAGCTCCAAAAAGACATAAATGAAATGAACATATACTATTTGCCAGTTCCAACAGCTTGACCTGCCTTGCGTCATTTAACACCCCTGTTTTACACACGAGGAAACGAAGGCACAGAGGTTTACTGCTTATTGTTGATACATTTGCTGAACTCAGGTGCCTCCAAGTGCAGTTTACGCACTTCACCAGAAACACAACGCTCAGATTTTAAAGTCTCTGAAACGTTCTTATTTCTGCTTCTTGAAAGATCCTATCTTTATGCTTAAACATGCATATGCAATGCCAACTAACACTAAATAGAAACGGGGTGTGGGAAAGTATTCCTGAGAGTGGTCGAAAAAAAAGAATGCTTTTCAGGTTGCCTTCAGAAAGTTTTGGGGAAAAAAAGAAAACAGAGCAATCCAAGGCAGATGAGACAAAGGCAAAAACGGCAAGGCATTTTAAAACGTCTTATTATTTCGGCCCTTTCCTATCAAACTTCGGCGGGGGGCTGCTCTGGGGCATACAGGCTCAAAGGATGCGGACTCGCGCGCCAATGCGCGTGCGCCCTACGAGGCACGCAGGGAGCCGGGCGGGCAAAACTGAAACGGAAACCTGCCAGGCGTCCAGGGACGGGCTCTCCTGGCCGGGACGACGCCACCGGGGACCCCGTAACTAAAGCCACCTGGCTACCCATTTACTTGGTGGCTCTCAAGGATGCCAACCTGAGCATCTATGCACTCTTTCTATCAACCCCATGCGCCGTCGTCCCTCCACGCCCTCCCTCCTTCCTCATGCCCTTTCCAAATTCGAGCCAGGCATTGGCACCCAGATTAGGAACTCGGCTCTGCTCGGCCCCTTGACTCAGCATCCCAGCCCGTTTACGGGTATGAAGTGAGCGTGGGCGGGGTGGGAGGATGGATGCGGGCAAACTTGTCGCGCCCGCGCGCGCCACTTCTTAGCCCCGCGGCGACGACAGGGGGTGACCGTCCTCGGCGCGCGTGCGCAGGACATGCCGGCGAGGCCCAGAGCGCGCGTGCGCGGGAGCGGCTCCAGTCGCGTATTCCAGGAGCCTCGGAAGGAGGCCAGCCGCAGGCGAGCGCCGGGCGGCGGAGGCTCAGGGCGCGCGATTTTTGAGGGACCGCGCTAGGACGCTTGAGGCGCGCGTGCGCAGAGCGGCTCGGGGCTCACGGGGCTTCCCAGAGCGCGCGTGCGCGAGAGGGTCCCGGGGCGCGGGCGCGAGGAGGCCGGGGTCCGCGCGTGCGCAACACGGCTCGGGGCGCGCGAGGAGGCCCGGAGCGCGCGTGTGCGCGCCTCTTCCCCGCCCCCACTCGGCCGAGACGGCGGCACAATGGCGGCGCCCTTGTCCCCGCTCCGTCCCGTCACCCACCTGCTTTTTGACCTGGACGGCCTCCTTCTGGGTGAGTAGACTGTGGCCGCCTCCCGCGAGGGCAGTCTGGGAGGACGCGGGCGGGGGGCACCGGCTCTCAGGGGCGGGAGCCGCTGCGGGGCGGTGTGCGGGGCCCCCGGGCTGGCGGGCGGCGGGGGTGCGGGGCCCACGTCAGGCCGGCCGCGCTCGTGGCTGAGGCGTCGACGGCGCCCGGGGCACTTACTTCCGGAGGCCGCGCCGCGCGTGGGGACGGAGTGCGTGGGGGGCGGCGCGTGAGGGCGCGGTGCTAGGGGACCACCGCGCGGGCAGGAGGTTGGCGTCGGGCCTCGGGGCCTGCGGGCGCTGCGCGCGCAGCCGGGCCTCCATTTCCCTGTCTGCACCCCAGCCTCCAGGATCCCTGCCGGCTTGCCCAGAGGTGCACGCACCTTGCTCGTAGCATCCTACAGGGCAGCGTCCTCTACCCGCCGGTTTGGGGGCCTTTGCCGACGTCTGGAGGCGTTTGGGGCAGCCTAGCTGGAGGGTGGGAGTTTACTGGCGTCCGGAGGGTAGCGGCTGGGATGCGGCGGAACCTCTCGCAGTGCACAGGACCGCTCCACGCCACCGCGACTGCTCCACACCCAAGTATCTGTAGCGCGGAGGCGGCGGAGGAGCCCTGCTCAGCGGTCTGTCTGGTCCGAGTGACTCCCAGCAGGGACATCACCGGGGAGCAGCAGTTTTGCAATGCATAGCCCGGGTCCCCACCCCGCAGCTGCCCAATCAGAATCTACATTTTCACCCAAGTGCCGGAGAGTTAGAAGTGCACACCCGTGCTGTGGCTTTGAGCGGTTAACAATCTTGTGTGCGCCGAACAGCCCCGTAGTCGATGGTGGTAGGCATGAACTTACCCACCGAGGCGAATTCAAGTAGAATTCGTAGAAAACGCTGCATTTATAACTCAACAGAGAACTCCTCTGAGCTCTACCCTACAGCTTGGGCGTATGTTTCATGACACTACCCGGTGTTACACGGTTAGGAAACGCGTTCTGACATCATTGTCTCCGGAGGGCTTCATAGGACTTTAAAAATGCATGCTTTACATAGGCTACTAACCTGGTGGAGGTGTGCATACATCAGTGCTGCCTCTCATAAAATCCTGCAAGGTGGGAGGAGATGGTTGCCCTGACTAATTAAAAACAAAATCGGCACCGCTCAGAGAGGTAAAGTTACTTACCCAAGGTCACACAGCTAATAAGGAACGGAGCTGAGAAATGATTCCAGATCGATCTGATTCTAAATATAAGTGATGTTGTGCTCATTTTACAGGGGAGTGTGGCCTTGCCCCCATGATCATTTGGCTCACTGGTTCAGTAGTAATGGCACTGATTTTTTTATTTTAAAGGTACACAAAAAAGTCTTTTTTTTATGGACCCAGAGATATAAACGAATGAATTCCTAAGGGGTAAAATAAATTCCCATAGAGGTAACTAATTGGGTAGAACAGTGTATGCAGCTACTAAATCTGAAATGACTCAATTTCAAAAAGCATCTGGGATTCGTAAGTACAGTTTGTAGATGTGAGTTTTCCTGCTTAGATGGTCAAGTTAAACTGTCAAATAAATTCCTTATCCTCTAATGAAAAGTCCAGAGAACATGTTTTGCGAGTCTTATGAATTTTAATACAAACTGAGGTGTCCCATTAAAATTAAATTTATTAGATTTCTAAATGAGCTTGATGCTTCATCCCCACTCAAGATACACATATACCTGTTCCCCGGAGCCATGAATGTGACTTATGCGGTGGTGCCTGCAGGGGTAGTTCTCAACCAGGGTCTCCTCTTTGCTAGTTAAGGCAAGTTTAAAGTTTATCAAGCATTGGTCTGGCACTGTTACCCAATCCTCTGAACTGGTCAGAGAAACAAGAATTAGTGGCCTTTGGGAGGATAAGACCTAGCTCTTCTTCCCCCCTTCGTTTTCTGCCGTTTACCTCATTCCGCCCTGACTCTTTGAGGCGGTAAGGCCTTGCAGAGAACTTTATCAGAAATGCACCTTTGCTTATTCTTTTTTTTTTTTTTTACAAAATGTCTGGTATAAAACACCACTCCAGAATGTGCTACTTTACCTCATTTAATCTACTTGATTGTACCTGTTGTAATTCTTAAGCGCCTGACTTCAGTTGTCTGTTGTTTGCATAACAACGTATCATCAGTTTGTGAGGTGTTTTTCAGTGGGCCTGCTTTTCAGAATTGTGAATCCATTTCCCCAGGAAGTTCTGTTTGTTAATGTAGCTCCAGTCCTTGTATTCTCAGGGAAGTGAAACGGAAAACAGAGAGTTGGATGGGGAAGCTTGTTTAACCAGAGGGGAATGAGGAAGTCAATGGAGATATTTGCAGAAATGTTGACCAGAAACCCAGAGTTACTTTCTAGTGCTTTTGAAATGTTTGATGCTGTTTTCCTTTCAATCTTTGGCATCTTTGACAGAGGTAACAATTAGCTGTGAGCAAGATAGTAATTTTGGCCCTCAAATGCCATTTAGAGACCGAGACCAAGGGGTCTGAGATTATTTATGAACAAGGATAAGATTTTGAAATACTATGTCAGCTCCTGAATAGGGAAGATTATCTAGTTCATTAAATAGCTGAAGTTAGGAGCACAAGAGGTAGGACCATTCTCTTTAAGAGACGAGAAAGTTGGTGGTCCAGAATCCTGCTATCTGATAGGAGTAGCACCATGTAAGATTTTGTTATAGCAACATTAAAGAAGCAAAAAGACACAGAGGAAATGAACTGGAATGATACTTTTTTCCTATCCTGACACATCCATAATATTGTTACTCAACACATGATCAGTAAAAAAAAAATAGTTGAGATAGTTTACGTTCCTTTTTGTTACCTAGCCTTTGAAATTTGTGTGTATCTTACACTCACAGGGCATCTCAGCTCAAACTAGCCAGGTTTTCATGGGTTCACTTGCCACGTTTGGCCAGTGCCTACCGTATGGGACAACCCAGGTACACAGCCTTAGGGAGCAACTCACTGATGTCTGCTGTTGATAACGGGGCCAGATGGAGGGTGGATGTTAAGAATATTCAGAATTAGGAATATGTAAAATGTGGTATACATAAAATATGCTTTCTAGGAGTCTGTTACAGTAATTAAATCCTTAAAGAATCAGCCAGGAAAAATAAAAAGCTGATTCTCAAATGTTTAAAAAATAAGCAGAAAAATAATATGATAGATCTGTGAGGGGAAATGCGACTCTTTGCAGTGTCGATTATAATTGACCACGTCTCCGTAAACACACGGAGATGGCAGGATTTTAATGGGTGACACCTGGCTTCTACTTCACCTTCACGGAGAGGAACAGATCCCCTGTCCTGTACCTGTTTGTACTCCTACAGCTTCCTGCTTGTCAAATAGTAATCAGAGCACTTGAGACCGTATGGAAGTGCCCGTTTCTCCGTCCGGGGCCCAGGGTACAGCGTGAACGCTGGGTGGAGGCGGGACCTTTGTGCTGCTCCTGGGGCTCAGGGATCCATTGTTGACCGAAGCAGCTCGCAGCCCTGTGACAGGCCCGCCGTCACCCGTCGTCCTCTGGCTCACCTCACCTACGCCGGTTTCTGTAGACGCTGGGACCTCCACAAAGCTGATGACAAACACAGGATCTCCCCGTACAGCTGTAGCACATGCCCTAGATGAATTTTCAGAAGAGCTTTCGTACATTGTATTTGACCCTGTGTAACACATATGAGGTTTAAAAGTGGAGATGATGAGCTTTTCGGCGTCCATTGGTTCCTATCCTGTAATGTGACTCAGTCCAGACATTCCCAAAGAGTCTCAGGAAGGTAGAGCAGAATAAATGCTCGTTTGGGATGGCCGGTGTGAGGTTACTGTCTGCCCTTGGGGCTCCCAGAGACACCCTCACCCCGTCCCTGGCTTGTTGTGTGCCTTGGGGTCTCGTCACGGATGTCAGGGCACCTGTGCTACGTCATGTTCCCTTTCTCTCTGCCCTGCCCCCAACCCCCGGAACTAAGGGCACATGCTCGCGTTTGATGTCACCTTACCAGGCGACATTTAGGTCCCTTCTACATTTGCACAGGAGGTGGTGGAAATTCGGAGGCCTGTCTGAGGCCTTGCGGCCGAGCAGAGCCCACGCAGAAGGGGCCCCTGACTTGTACTTTCTCAGTTTGGAGTAAGACGCTGGTAGGGGCAGGCGAAGGTACCCATGGACTCTGTTGAATGTCAGGAAATTCATCAGGAATAAGAAAGCACTTGAGGGGGGACTGAGGTGGGTAAACTCAGGTCCCGTTGGCCGTGCTTCCTAATAGACCTGAGCCGCGTCAGCCTTTCCTGTGTTCCTGCGGTTAGCGGTTCTTATGCACGACAGCTGCTCCTGTTTCTAGATTAACAGGAAGGTGAGACCAAAATTGCAAAATTCTGCAGGTCGACGGGAGTTTGGTCCAGCTGGTAACACGACTAAGATATTCAGCAGGTTTCTGTCAGTGCAGGTGTAGAGTGCCCGTTCCATGCTTCCTCCTAGCTTCCTCGTCCCCCTCATCGTGTGCTTTGATTTAGAATCTTGGCCGTGCAGACTTTTTTTTTTCCTCTCTCGAACCTATTTTTCCTTTCTTCTCCTTGGAAAGCTGTGTGTGGGGGGATTCTTTGGTCACTTTTGTCTTTCTGATTATTCTCTGCTTTCTCTGATTCTGTTCCTTTATTTTTTCTTTCATTTTTTAAGCTACTATAATTTATCCATTACACTGTGTCATTTTTCAGGGGTAGACGGAGATTTAATGCAATGTAAAAGAGCAAGGGAGATGATGCCCCCAAGAAACGTCCACCAAAATCACTCATTACACAGGTGCCCAGGTGACTTTTCACAGCTTTGTTTGAGATGTTTGAAAAGTGATGGATACATAGCCTGTAGCTGGAAGGTGCAGTAGTGTTATAGCAGAATGGCTTACATTAGAAGATAAAGCGCTCACTGTCAGATATATGTGAATACCGGCGACTCATAATTCCGGCATTTCATATATTAAAAGCTTCACTTAATTGT